GCTGAATTAATCAAATAAATAATTCAGAATGGTTATATAACAGTTCAAGAGATATAAATAATAATAAATTCATCAAATATGCAAATGACTAGTTAATTAGTCTATTGCACAAATGAGTAATAATAATAAGATAACTTTCCACACAAGTAAGCAATATACATCATTTGACACAATAGTCAAATTCAAACAAATTGCAGGATGTGAGCAAAATAGTATTCCTGGTTACATAGGTGTTTCATAGCTCCTGCACTATTTACTACAAATAATGGAAAGATCAACATTTTATCTTCTCCATACTATGAAATTCAATCTTATAGTCCTATCCAATCCTATTTTATATTGTAGATTATAAATTCATATAAATGCATTACAAGGACAGGTAGTTCCAAACTCAAGCATTCACAAAATAGTGAAAACAGCTTATTTCAAAATTGTGTTGATAAGAATACTGAATATTTAGTTAATGGACAGTGGTACAATTATGTATGTTTGGCTCTAAATAAATTAAAAGCACCAGTTGTTGCATTATGAATGTCTGACAAAAAATGAAATCATTTCCCACAATACATTGCCCTGAAGGCCAACTGGAATTAGCATACCCAGTAACCCAAGCCCTCTTCGGTGACCTGTTATTGAACTTGGTTGGATGTCTTGTGCTATGCTAACTTTGCTCACATCATTGCTGATAATTCTCCTCATCACTGCCTCATGACATTCTGTTACTATTCTATTTGTTGCCATTTTGTTTTTGAAAAAAACAAAACAATGAAGTTTTGGTATAATTATTGTTGATCAAAAAATCTAGAAATGTGCAGAATGACAACTATGGTGCTTTAAACCTTGCGAGAGAAAAAATGCTAGCATTACTGAGAAATCTGGCTGTTACATGAAAACTGTCTGTCACCTATACTAATTAATTAACTGCAGCCTAATCTCATAAGGTCAGTCACTGAAAATCTAAATGTCACTTACAATTTGCTATAAGAGTAATCAGAATTATAATACATTAGTTCCTGCATTACAGTCGTTCACATTTCAACAAAGTAATAGAGACTAGACTGTGTGATAAAAGTAACCTTACAATGTAATCTACTTAAAGAAAAAGCATTCCCATAGCCTGGTAACCTAATAAGAGCATTTTCTAATTTAATCCCAACCTGTACACTGTAGCATCCTTTCCAGTGTACAGCAATACCTACAGGGGTTTTCACTTCACATTCTGAGAGCACCCAATTTCAAGGCAAACAATGATAAAGATGGCTTATACTGATTAAAATTGCCAAGGAAACACTTGACTATTTTGAAGTTCTTCATTCAAGCAATCATTCCATGGGCTCCATACTCTAACAGGTGACAATATTGGAAACCATTTGCCCTTTCAAATTATAACATGTCTATATTGTAAACATATGTATGAAGAAAGACAACTTTAGCATTTACAATATGAAATGCAATCCCAGTACCTCTTCAATATTTATGATACCTAATATCAGTTTGTCTTGAGTGCTTTGTAAAATCATATTATACTGCTAACTCTTCTTGGTTTTTAATTATCTCCCTTGCAAAACTTCATCTACTTTCTTTACAAGGGTAGTGAGCTATAGCAATCGCAGTGTTATTATTAGTTATGTATAGCTACTAATACTTAGTAGTTAGTTCAATTAACGGCATTACAGGTATTTCTTAATTCAGAGACACTTCAAGTATTTTATAGACTACAGACCAATGACAAAAATAAGACAAACACCCGGAATACCCGGAAATGTGAGGATAAAAACATAGATGGTAACAATAACAGATGCAATTTCAGTGATAAATATGTAAACCACCAGGGCAAATATTAAACACAGCTCCCAGCAGTAAAAACACACAGTAACATCAAGTGATTTCATCATCATTACTCATGATTACAGATCATCGTCTCTTTCTATTGAAAGCATTGACCAGATTCACTGGAGTCATTACTGTCATACAAATAATAGTAAATTCACAACACATAATGAAATTGAAAACAATGGTTAAATGACTATGGTGGTCAGATTTTGCATCTTTTTTTTTTTCGAATAAAATCTATGCACAATTCATATATACCCATTTGTTAGGCTTCACAGGATGGATTGATTATTCACTGACTGCAACTGTGCCAGGAAATCAGATAGTTTGTCCTTGGAATACTGTATTTATTCTACAAACCTTTTGTTATGTATATTGATCCAAGGTAATAATGTTCCCACAAATCATTGAGTTTTGCCCCAGTGCACAAATCAATTGGGTGAGCAAAGGTTGGGTAAAGACATCAATTTTGAAGAACAAGTTAAATAGCATCAAACATGTATGTCAATATTTATCCAAGGACAAATCTCAAGTATCCCAATATAAATATCAACATGCCCAACATAGTACATAATTGTGCATGGTTTCTCTCATTTCATTAAATGTCTCCTTGCCATTGTGTCTGGCTGTCTAATTTTAACAGTCATATACTGTACATACTGATGAATATCAAGTGGAATTTTGCTGACTACATTGTAAGTTCTAAATATGGTAGTCTACCCAAAATTTGCAGGGAAATTACCCCAATACTGGTCAAACTATTTTTATATTCGGGTTTTTAAGAAATGAGGACTATAACTCATATCAATTATCATGAAAACAGCTGTGGTATCCACCATGTCCTATAGTTTTAGCTGTGGTAATAATATGCGATATTTGATCCACATCAAGTGATATCTTTTGACCTGGTATTATTTTTTGACCTTCATGATCATTATCAATATAGACAATGAAAGTGATGGTCCAAGTATAGATATTTCACTCGTTTTCAGCATAGTACCAACACTAAAAGTGGAAACAGTAGAATAATGTTTTGTTTATTTTAAAACTTTTAAAGCAGCAAACTTAATCAATTTAATTCACTAATTTTGATATTTAGGTTATGCTCACATTGTTTACAAATTTACTCAAAATCATTAACATCGGATAGTTTTAGACATTTTTTGAGTTAACAATTCAGCCTTTAGCATATTGTTAGATACTCTCGAGTAATCCATCACATCAAATATTGGATGCATCCAAAAATATGCGTACTGTGTTCTTTGCCATTTTCTCTGCCACCTCTCGTTACTTGTGGTCAGTGTCACAATTTTTGCACTGATGTAGTTGCTCATATGATAAAGAGGTTTTTCATGGCTAATGCCAAGGATAACATGTGATATAGCTTGAAGCAACATTACTTCTCACAGTACCACACATTATATCTGATATTAGTCACAAATAACCTCTAATTATTTGGTTCAAAGAATTATATAATTAATAGCCTTAAAAACTGACATACATTACTTGGTACTTTAGTATACTTGCATCTTGTTATTCAAGAAAAAAGATTTGTAAGAGGGCATGTACTCGGTAGTAGGTGTCAAAACAGCTAGTTATGGCTGGCTATAATCACATAGTACGTAAAATTTACATAAAATTTGTGTGGAGAATTCGGAGGTCTAGAAGACTTACTCATTTATAATTGCACAAAACATGGTTGTGATAATCTGTATTTATAGATTAAAGACTGTGAGGAGGGGTGAGTAGAATAGACCAAATACTGTATTTATGAATAGCCACTCAAGTTAATACAAATGCAGTATTATCTCTCATTAAAGCATATCTTAATACAAGTGTACG